CCCGAGTTCTGTTCCCAGTACTTCCACTGGCCCGCTAGGTGATGTTAGGCAAGTCACTTCACCCCTCAGTTCCCCATTTGTAAGATTGGGACAACGATACCGACCTCCTTTGCAAAGCACTTTGAAATCTGCTAATGAGAAGAGCTATGCATGATCAAAAATTTAACTAAACCTTAAACACCCATCAGCGCAGCTGTTCACAAGCCCGGGCACCCAAGTCCTTGCAAGGCTGTCACTACATTGAGGCATCCGAAGAAGTGGGCTGTAGCCCACGAAAGCTTATGCTCCAATAAATGTGTTAGTCTCTAAGGTGCCACAAGTCCTCCTGTTCTTTCTGTGGATACAGACTCACACGGCTGCTACTCTCAAACTACACTGAGGGTTACTTTGAAGATTCAAAAGAACAGGAGGACTTGTGGCACCTTAGAGACTAACAAATTTGAAGATTCAGGATCCATTCTCCAGCCCTCAAGCAGCTAATCCATTCTGAGACATGGCCTTCTGTAAACCAACTGTCCGCAGAGTAAAACTGGGATGACAATTCAAACAGGCCACCCCCCTTTCCCTGATCTCAGGGTCAGGAAAAATTTCATTGTAAAACAGTGTTCAGAAGGGAAAGTTATTTCTTCACAGAAAGGCGAGGCAATTCAGGGCAAACCACAACATTTCAACCTCGTTCTTCTGCAGCCTCTTCATATACACCTCTACCCTGATATAACGCGACCCAATATAACACGAATTCGGATATAACGTGGTAAAGCAGTGCTCCGGCGGATCAAAGCAAGTTCGATATAACGCGGTTTCACCAATAACAGGGTAAGATTTTTTGGCTCCCGAGGACAGCGTTATATCGAGGTAGAGGTGTATTTAATAATCACAAAAGGAGTTTGGCATGAAAAAGATCTACCCAGTTGTCTTGAGTTTGCTCGTGGAATTTTCACTCCAAATATCAGTCTACTTTAAGTTCAATTGCATTCAAACTCCATATTTCTGCCAGCCGCATAATAGAAGATTTAATTTTTCTAGAGAGTAATGACAAAAATTAAGGGTCTCACTTTGGTCATCTGTAGTCTTTCATTCAAGGATCTCAAAGCCCCCTTTTCGCAAATTTCACCCAATGCTCCCAAAACAAATCACTCCCAAATCTGCTCTGCTGATCCCAATGATCGCTGTCAACTAGATTCCATAGGCTGATGTTTTGTGACAACCACACACACACACACACACACAAAACAGGAGTACTTGTGGCACCTTAGAGACTAACAATTTTATTTGAGCATAAGCTTTCGTGGGCTACAGCCCACTTCTTCGGATGCATAGAATGGAACATATATGAAGAGTATATATATTATACATACAGAGAAGATGCCATACCAGCTCTAAGAGGCTAATTAATTAAGATAACAGGTCATCAGCAGGGGAAAAAAACTTTTGTAGTGATAATCAAGACTGTTGACAAGAGGTGTAAAGATAGTTATCATAAGGAAATAGATTCAAGTCGTGTAATGAAAAAAACAGCTGATCCCAAGAGCAGTCACTAAATTTTCCCCATCATTGACTCAGACACACTAACAAGCCTTCCTATACAATCAACCTAAAAGCAGGTGGCCGCTGAAACTGAATGTAGTGTGGGTACTGGGGGGTTAATTTTGAAAGTTCAAACCCTTGCCCTGTATCAGGCAGTCAGCTCTTGTTTTACCACTGCTGTTGAGGAGGGGACACGGAAAGGGAGAACTTTCCCCATCCCCAATTTTATCAGGAATAAACACACACACACACACACACACACGCCTGGGCAGCTTAGATTTTGTGACAAAAGTAAGGCGGAGGTGGTTTTTGTTTGTTTGTTTTTTTACTTTAGCGTGGAAGAAAATGGAACCCCCACCCACATCCCAGACAGGAAATATATTCTCCAGAGAAAAGGGACAGATACAAGTCCCACCCCCGACCTCCCAAAAGCCAGCTTGCTAACAGCTGTCCATTTCTCCGGTCTTCAAGCTGGGGAGACTCTCCTTGTTCTTCTGAAATACAGGCCGCCCCCAGCTCCAATCAGGCAGGAGACAGTCCAGAGTCAACTCTCCCTTATGAAAAAACGCCCGGTGTTGAACTCAGCATAAAGCAACCAGGCAGCAAACCACTCACCTTCACCATCCTTCTGCTAACGAGCAGGGGGGCAGGAAGACCCTTAACTCAGGACACAGGAAAACATGCCAGGGGGGAAAAAAGGCTGATAAAAATAAACAATTCCTCCCCCCCCTCCAGAAGAGATTAGATTTCCTCCTTTGCTCTGTTCCTTGGTGGAGAAGGAGGCTGTGGTCTAGTCGCTAACTCAGCTACTCCTGACCCCAGCTTGCTTGCATGCATGCCCTCAGTTTCAGCAAGACCCAGATTTCTGACGTTGCCGTGAGGCACCTCCCTCCAAATCCATGGCAATTGGTCTGCACTGGGGATAAGGGAGTGTGTGTAGGGGGGGGGGAGCAGCACCACCCACTTCTTGGCAAGGGAGCTGCTGCATTGGGAGTAGAGGACAGAGAAACACAATCCCAGTTGCTCCTTCCCTGCTAGACCTCAGGGGTTGTGTGTGTTCCGATTGATGAGAGAGGAGGTGGATGAGGTAATATCTTTTATTAGACCGACTTTCGGGATTTAACAGCGCACCCATCACCACAGGAGCTGGTGTAACAAGTCAGTCAAGACCAGCCCCTCAAGCCACCTTTTCAACCCAAAGACACCCACCCCAAGTGGCAGCCCTGCCGGCTGCTAACAGAGCAGCAATATTCAGATTTCCCTCAAGACGGAAGTGCTGGACAAAGGGCAGTGGTGCCCTGCCTCTTTTTCAATTGCAAACCCTTAAAAAAAATTGCAAAGGGAGATGCGGACCCCTTTGGAAATCTATTGTCTGTATAGATCGTTGAATTCTGTTCAGTCAGTTTCTAGTCTAAGCCTTTCGCAGACCCCTTCGACAGAGTCCATGGACCGCCCCAAGTAGGGTGACCAGATGTCCCGATTTTATAGGACAGTCCTGATATTTGGGGCTTTTTCTTATATAGGCTTCTATTACCCCCCATCCCGATTTTTCAAACTTGCCATCTTGGTCACCCTAGCCCCAAGGGCTGTGACCACAGGTTGAGAACCACGGCCGCACAAACAAAAAGTGGGAAGACTTAGATGTGACCTGATCCTCCACCTCACCCCCACCCCAAATCCTTCTGATAGTAGATCTCCTCAGTTACCTCTAGTTTTCCTACCTAACTAGATTTTATTTAAACAAGCCACAATTGTTTATTGTTTAACCCACCTCACCCCTTCGTCCAGTCACAGTTACATGATATGATCTGTGCACACACAGAGTGTGGAATGGGGTTTTATTAACAGGGTATTTCCTCCCGTTCCTTACCCCCCACGCGTTCTCACTTTCCACTCTTATTCTGCGGTCCCACCCCCTCTTATCAGATGAAGAAATGGGCAGCTCCCCATAGCAACACAAATAAAAGTGCCTATTTCTCAGCCCAGGGAGTCTGTTCCCTGCAATCGACACAATGAAACCGGACTTTCCTTCCCTTCATCATCTTGCAGTTACACTTCACTAGGCTGCCAGCAACAGAAACCGAAGCTAAGGCAAAAAAAAAAAAAGCAGAGAGCTGGAGTGGCATTAACTCCTTAGCACAAGGAACCAGAGTGGAACGGCAGAACAGAACAGCACCCCGCTTAACTGAACGCCACGTCGCCAGCCACCTCTCAACACTGGAAACTCTCCCTTCAGGTTAACAGAAAACAAAACAAGT